TCCACAGAAGTAGACGATTGCTGTGGCGGATCACCTCGCTTGAGTTGGTGTCAAATGCCACCTTATACGAAGCGAAATAATTTCTTTATAGCGGAGCATCGTTCTCTGAAATGTGCATAGATGCACAGATCCTCAAATATTTGTTTACCCTCGTTGCAGCTTTGCTCTTTGGGCCAAAAAAGAAAAAAACGTCTTTGAAAACGTTCCGTTTCGTTGACATGCGGTGGTGCTGGTGAGGAGCACGTGGCCAGCAGGGCGTGTCGATTGAGTACCGCCCTTTCTCCGTTGTGACGCAAAATCATTGCGCCCTGCGAGGACCAAGGCCCGTTGAGGGTTCATTGGATCGTGGTCTAGCACCTATGGTAGTGATGGTATATGGTTCAGCTTGAGGCTCGGGATTAGGAATCGGGAGTCATCGTGGGGCAATATTTCGAATATTTCTGTAACATGCGAGTTCCTGCGCTATTTTGTACCGTATTTCATCGTATCTTGTACCATTCATAACGCATTTTCTCCTTTTCAGAAGTCAAAGCTCTGCCCTGCGTTAGAGGTGAACAACTACTATCATATTGAGAATGCATGTCGATAAATTGTGTAAAGCACTCAACACTGTAAATCTTGACGATGAAATAACGCCACAATTGAGGTGAGTACGGTAGCTGAAGTTTTTTTTTGGAATTTCTACGTTGGATATGGACTAACGGACAACCTCCTCCTTGAAACCTTCCTATCGCAACTGTGTATTCGAGTCTCAACGTATTCTAATTCTGACCTTGGATTTTGGTGGTTAGGAGGAGTGAAATCGTGCAGTCATTATCATTGGTTCGTTGTTCGTTCACTTGGCGCGGTTACGGTAGTGATCAAGGGAACGCGTAAACTACGCTTTTGCCATGTCCGGTTTACAAGTTCATTGGAAGATGTTAATTGTGATGTCTTCGTTTTGATTTGATCACTAATTAGGCGTTATTATGGGCATGCCTAGCAGTACTCTCTACCTTCCTATTTATGGTGTTTAAGTAACGAGCTTCCATCTGTGTGCGTGCAATAGTAGAGCAGTACGAATTCAGCGTTGTCGGCTTTAGCTTAATAATTCCGAGTGAAGCCGTGATCGTTCTTTGTGCGCGTCATTTGTTTAGACGGGTGGGCGTCATGTGTTGAGCACGTGAACGGCTCGTGCATTCGTGTATACCGCACTGGAGCGAAAGGATGTAATGAGGATGAGGATAGATTGAGCGAGCGCGATGTGGGCAAAAGCCGCTTTCCTAGTCTCATGACGGCTACGGGAACAGGGTAAGAAGCCTGTGATTGACAGATTCGGCAGCTTAATTGAAAATCGTCATTCACTTAATGCCATAATCACTCGCTCTTTTTGGATTTATTGAGATCGCCGTGTTCAGTAAGTAGTCTTGTAAGAAGTGCCGTTCTCGCTTCTATCAAAACGCATTGACTGTCGTGTTCTGTAAATGGTATTGTAACAAGTGCCGTGATCACGCCTTCCTCCTAGAAGGGCCAGTGATAGCCGTGCCGCAGTGCATGCTACTGTGGAGACTGCCGTGATCGCACATATTCCAGTTGAAGGGATGGTTCATGGCCGGTTCAGGTACATGGTGTTGCAATGAGTGCCGTGAAAGCACAAACTGATGCTAGGATGCCCTGATCGCACCCTTTCTGTTGAAGGGGCTGAGATTGCCGTGTTTCAGTGTATGATGTTCTGGAATGCCGTGATCACACCTTGTTGAAAGGATGACCATGACCGTGTTCAGTATATGATGTTACGGAGAGGGGACAGTGCCGTGATCACACCTCTTCCTGTGAAAAGGTGAAGATGGCAGTGTTCTATGTGGAGAGTGCTGTGATTACTCCGTCTATAATAGCTTGACATTTGTCATTGGCGTTAGGGCAGAAAGAACACCAGGGAATTAATTCACATCTTTGAGGATTTTCGAAGGGCCAGGAAAACCTGCACGCCGGCCTTGGAGGGAGTCAAGATTTTGTTCACGCTCCTTTTTTGATGAGGTTGGGCCATCTGTAAATAATTGAGGGTTAAGACTGTTTTCGTTTCGTTGGCATGTTTATATATCTCAGCATTGATATGAGCAAAGTCAGAAGTTCTCTCTGCGTGGCTCAGCTGCGCCTGGAACAATGACGTCAAATTCTCTAGTCTGAAGAACCTATTCCGGAAATGTTGGACGTAACACACCAATTGGGCAGAGATAGGAAGGTTCAAAAAATGGCGTGGCCGTTATCGTGCGCTGAGGGCAAAAAGTTCCGCGCCATTCTTTGACGCGGTTGAGTTGTGGTCGCAGAATTACCAATGTCAATGATAAGAGTCACGCTGTCATTTCTCACGCGATCGCGATCTGTGGTTTAGTTTAAACTGCAATTTTTCGGAGAGAAAGGAAAGGGCAAAAAGTCAGGAGCAAAATGCTTGCCCGTGATTGTTCCTCCTTGTACTCTTCAATGAGAGAATGGGCCAGTTCAAAGGTTTGGTATTTCGTGTTAGGGTAATGTGGCGGAAATTTACAGTAACACCTTTGAGCCGTTCTTTGAGTCCTGTATGAGCGTAGTGATAACTGGTTTACGGTATGATATTTAATTTGACGCAATAACAGGCTGTCAGCCGTTTATGTAACTGGATTCTTGTGTTTTTCAATGGTGTCGCTAGTAAATGACGTAAGCAGAGCATCTGTAGATGACAGTTGAGGTAATGTATGCCAAGTAAAAAACAACACCTACAGCAGAATCGGGCGTTCGACATGGGGGTCTCGAGGGGTTGACATCTAGTGCGCTATTTGACCGTTTGCACATAAATGAATTGAAGCGCTGTATCAGCGCGATCGATGTTTGTTCGAACAGCATATGGTGCTACAAAGAGTGCCGTGATCACACCTTCCTGCTCGAGGAATCACGGCGAGGCGTGTTCAGCATATGGTGTTGCAGAGTGATGACACTATCTTCCTATTGAAAGGATGTAGAGCCGGCGCGTATGAAGAAGTATCTTGTAGTTAGGCGTCCTTCCACCTCTCTGGGCTTACTTGGGATTGTGTTTCAGGTAAAAACGAGTTACTGGCTGCACTTAATGTGTCGTTTATGCCGGGCTAGTATCGGTTGATTAATGGCCAATCATAGCTCGGCTGCGTGACCGTTTTCTAGCAAAATGCCTTTTCTGGCTTGTGGCCTGGTTTCTCCGTTCCTGAGCTCCAGTAAAATCATTAGGCTCTGTAAGTAGCTTATATAAGGCTTGTTATTCTGTAGCATATAAGGCTTGTTCTTCTATAGCTCATGATAGATCTGGAAGTAAAATGGCAAAATACCTCAAAACCGTAGGAATCGTAGGAAACGTAAACAAAAAGTTCATCAGTGATTGACAAACAAAACAATCCAGTCGATTTAGTACTGCGAACGAGTACTGCTCCATACCGTTCTCGGCGCTTCAACGCGTCACGACACTTGGCGTTGGTGGTTTCGGTCGCGTTGAACTGGTGAAAGCAAACGGGAAAGTGTTTGCGTTGAAGGTGAGTGCTTGAGGGAAGAGAATCTTTATGCTGACTGTCAAAAGATCGGCACCGTCTGTCCGTTTGAGTACGGTTGGCAGAGTGACA